AGGACAACCACGTTGGCCACCAGCAGACCGACCAGCAGAGCGTTCACCTCCAGCCTCTTCACCGCGCTCGCCTTGGCCGCCAAGAGAGAGATGAATCGGGTGGTGTAGGAGAACACGGCGGTGCAAAACACCGCCATCGTGAAGTTACCGAGACAGGTGAGCAGAACGTGTAGCGTGGTCAGTTCGCCACGCACCGCCATTTCCGTCAGAAAATGCAGGACCTGCGAAGCAAAGCGGTTTCTAATGGACAGGAAAAAATATCCCGTTCGGCGGTGGTAGCTATATGTTCGTGTACGCAAATCGATTATGCTAGGCGTGTTAACTTGTGTTCAAAACAGAACATAATACTTCGTTCGTTAGATAAAGTGAACCTTTTGCGTAGCCAATATGACTTGATTGACCTCAGTCTGCTGCAAATCACGCAAACGACACAGATAAAAGGAAGACATACAATAGGAATGGCCCTTATTCCATTAGATAAGAGGTGTTCCTGTGGTGTCTCCCGTTTATGCAATTTGCGTGCTTTATAAATGAACACTGTGTTTCAGTTGCATTACTTTACTTCCTCCATCGATTCATTACGAGAACTGCAAGCAGCTAGTAGGACGCTGGTATCAAGCAGCTGGTATCAGGACGGTTCATGTATAGTTAAAATATAAGCGAAACATGTCAGAAGAAGGCCGTGCATTTTTAGCCTTGTTATAACACGCCTAAGATTAGGTGTACAAGGGGTGTTGCAGGGGTGTTTTACTTACACCTGATTTGTAAAGTTAAGGACGTAATAAGGCTGTTAATAAAACTCTAAACACCCGTATAACACACCTAAGGATGTATATTTATTTTGTGCGTATGACCATAGTCGATTCTTTCGAGAAAGGCACTACGATGTTCGATAAAACGTTTAATGTGCCGCGTTTCATAACCAACGTCAACACAATAACTTTTCTTTTCCCGATATCAATGCGACGAAACACTCAATGCGCATAAATCAAAAGCCTACGATTTCATTGTTTTTATGTTCAAAATTAAGCATCTCTGGCTGTAGAATTAGGTATTTATTTACACACAAATTACAAATAATTGCTGAAGCTCACAAATCACCTCTGCCTATGCTCTACATCACGAAAGAGCGGTCACACAGCTTTAAGGCGCAACTGCTACTTCTTTTATGCATGTGTACGTACAAAAGAGTGTGGATACAGAACTTCTACAAGACTGAGCTTATATGAGAAATATGATACTTAAAACTAAGTGAGGAGTGTATTCACCCCACAAAACATTCTTATCGAGAAAGGAAGGAAAATGGACATAATTGGAGAAGCTACTTTTTGTCTCAACTTACACGTCCAACTTATGTGGGGCCGGTTCTCCCTCTGGATCCATCTGTGGAAATGACTAATTCTCCGACAAAGTATTCCCCCAAGAATCAGCGTTCCTGCAACATTGTCAAACTTTACCATGAAGAATACATGAACTAGTCAAAAGCTGGCCTCCACCGACATTCCTCTCTCGGCAACACTCGAAACATCCATCTCGACCTCAACTTTAGTATTGCTTGCATTGATTGTACATTGCCGTCTCCCGTTGGGCTGAACACGACTCAGCATGGCCATAGTTGCGCCACGCCAGTGCAGCCAATGTGGACAGCATACCATTCCGTTAAAGCTAAGCACCGGTCTTGCTTGTCTCCAGAACAGCAACAGCGGCCCACTCGTATGCGGTTGCGCCACTTCGATTCGATGTGGGCCCGCAAAGCATGCGCTCTGCGCAGTGCTGGCACACGGAGCCGTGTTCACCCTAGGAGTGGCCGCCACTGTACATGCAGAGTGATTGTAAATGTGGGCGGTTAGCGGAATCGTCATCTACATCTGTGACCGTGCCGCACCCGCGTGAAGTGCTGTATCAACTCACAGTATTCAACGTGACGGCGACACCCAGGACGTATGGCCGTATGGCGTCCCAGCGGTCGTTGCAGATGGGAAGGTCCTGCCACGCCGAGCGACACCAGCACAAGAACTCTCGCGGGTCAAAGGCGCTCTGCTGTCCGTCAACCGACCCCTCAAGGCTTTTCTCGTCGCCTACAGCGTCCCCATCTTGCTCCTCAAGCAGCACCTCCTTGGCTGCGTCATCGCTGTCTTGCAGCATGACCCATTTTTCATCGGCCAGAGGTGGGACGGCCTCGGTCTGTGGTTGGTCCGGCGTGGCCATGACCTGAGCTTCGTATCCCTCCCGAGGTCTGAAGGTACCTGTCGGCTGCGCTTCTTTGTCCCTCTTTGAAGATACCGGTGGTCTATGGCGGCTCCGTTTCCCCGACGTGGTTACGACAAGGTGGGGGGCAAGCACGCGCCCGTTCTCGCCGCGTGATGCTGCTGCTGATGATTGTTGTGTCGCACATGCTAAGACACATCAATTGAAACAAGCTTTCCCTATTATTTATGGTGTCATCCATTGGCAGATTCGGAGCACTTCCGGTAATACTTTCTTCTGCTCCATGTGGAAGTCTCTTCAAGTGGCAGATTGAGAGTTCTCCCTATAAATTCCATTGGCAGATCTGAAACAGCTACTTATGATGATGATGATGATGATGATGATGATGATGATGATGATGATGATGATGATGATGATGACAACCTCTGATGGATGGCGCTCACCCACAGAGGGGGATGGGCCAAGAACCGGGCGGCAGGATACTTAAATGAAACTAAAACGAAAATAAAGCCAAACTGAAAAGTAGTTTAGAAATAATACTACCAATAAACAAAAATTTTTGCTGAGCAAGCGGTCAAACCATCTCTTGTTTTTGACAGACATAGCTACTTCACGAGATCCACTCCACGGAGCAACTTGTTCTGCTCAGTGAAAATCGGTGGATTCAACCGGAAGTCGAATTTGGGCCCGCCAACGAACGCCAGTTGCGTTAGTTGCGCCTCACGTCAGAGCTCACGTTTTCTAGCGTAGCGTCACTGTGCCCAGCGTGTCCACTCGTGCAAGATGAGAGACGCGCGCATGGCATTCCATTCTGACCCTGCCATTTGCTTCAGAGGGAGGGCATGGGTTCCATTGGCAGATTCCCTCCTGTTGCACTCCACCAGAGTGGAGTGCTCCGGCGCACAGTTCGTCAGTCACTCCACATCCACCAATGGATGACAGCATTATTCAATCTTCATCACCTTCGCTGAGGCGGCCACCGAGCACGTGCCATCTCTGGCGCCCCAAATGGTAGTGACGCCGACTACGGCGTCACTTCGAGTTTTATAATTGTGCCAGACTGCGCAAAGTGGAAGAGATTATAAAGCACGCAAAACACTACACATAAGAAACATTCTATACGTTAAAATTATCAGGTTACGTACATTGAAGAATGCATACATGTAAATACAGAATAACTAGACATTATGATTGCATGGTACCACAATTATTAAAAGAACGCAGTAATTTGGTGAATCATGTAAGGAGTGTGTAGCGGGAAGGCAGGATAACCGCTGGCCGTTAAGTATAACTGACCGGGTTCCCAGAGAAGGCAAGCGGGTTGGGGAGAGACAGAAAGTTAGGTGGGCAGATGAGATTAGAAAGTTTGCGGGTATAAAGTAGCAGCAGCAAGCACATGCAGGATCGAGTTGACTGGCAGAACATGGGAGAGGCCTTTGTCCTGCAGTGGACGTAGTCAGGCCGACGACGACGACGACGACGACGACGACGACGATTATGATGATGATGATGATGATGATAATGATAATGATGATGATGATGGGTGTGACCAGTTCCGAGAATTCATGCTTATGTTACAACTTATCAACGTCGACATAGTGAAAAGAAAATCGAAGCACTATATCTCATTTATCTTTGTCATTAGGTGCGAAAGTTGGTTTCCACTAAGGCGACTGGTGGTTTCGCGCTGCCTTTAATTGTTGACTTCTAGAGCGATCGCCGTAGGTACTCTGTCAATGTGGTCTTTGAAAGAGGGGGGGGGGTGCACCTCCTTGATTTCGGAAGGGGCACTCTATTAGCATGGTCATTTTTTGCTCTCTCTGCCATGACAAAATATTTTGGCGGGGTGGGGGGCAAGGGTTTGGTGTGCCACACCCTGGCCCTGGCTACTGCGGCAGTTGGGGACTACCTGACAGCTCAAATAGAGAGGGGGAGGGAGGATCAACCATACGTGGGTGCGTTTGCATGTGTGCATACATGCAAAATTCAAAATTTTCCAAAATGGGAGAGCGCGAAACCGCCCCCTCCTTCTCTACTTGGTACGCCCGAAGAAAGGACAAACCGTGTTTACGTGTTATCTGACTCTGCAGCACAAATACACTAACACGTGGGGCCATACGAACGTACGGAAACAATGTTCCTTGGTTGCCTCCATGAGTCCCTCCAGGAGACAGCGGTAGGATGTGGCGCCTACTGCATGTTTGTGGTGGGTAGCCGCACCACCACTTGCTAAGCGCTACCTGTAGCTACGGCTAACAACCACAAAAAAAGCAACCCATCCTGGTGGATCAGAGGCACGCTACGAAACTTACTCAAGTAAGCCACCACACGGCAGCCGCTGGACAAGTTCACCGCTTGAGCTCTATTCAGGTCGAACTTTAGCGGACGCCCTTCAAAGTAGGTCACCGCTACGGTATAGCGGGCGTCGATTCGCAATTTATTTTCGTCCAACATCAATGCACGCTTAGGTGGTTGATTCAACGCGTCCAAGCAGTGTCGCATATCCAAGACGAACTAGGCGTAACGGTTGAGATTTTCGAGATTTCGGAAGGGTCAACGGATCCTTCAATGTTGTAAGAGTTAGGAAAAATTTTGGCAAGATATGACACTCCCTTTTACTGCTATGCTACTTCAGTAATTATTTCAAATAACCCGGTCTCCAGCCAACTCTCTAGCAATGTCCCCTGCAAGAGCCACTTGGCCCAGGAAAGCTGCGGAGAAATAGTCAGACGTTAGCATTCCTGGCCTTTTCTTTTTGCGCCAAAACCTTGACACCATAATCAGGCACTGTGTACGAGAAGCATCCGTCCTTTATTTTGACCACAGCTCCAGGTCATATCTAAGCCTCCAGGGGGATGGTTTTAACAGTCCAGGGCTGTAACGCCGATCCAAGATGAATAATGCGCGAGGGTATTAATTTTAATCTTGCCGAAGAGTTGGAATATATTGTCAAATTTCAAGAGGAATTTTGGGCAGATCGTGACGGTATTCTAGAAGTCTAAGCTGTCTAAGCCATCATTTAAGATATCACGATGTCCGCTCGTCGGTGTATTTGTCTGGCCCAACTTGCTAGGTGCCGCCGTTCGCTGCTGGAGCCACAGGGGAAGAGAGAACTGCGAACAAGAATAAATGGTGTTTTAAATGTTAGCGTTGTTCGTGCCGAAAGCCCAATAGCATCATGAGATAGCCGTAATGTGTGCTTCCTCGAGATGGTTTTGAACCAACTTGACTCTAGACCATTCTGTGTGAAGATTTTGGCACCTTGGGCGTCTGCCTCAATTGCGCAGAAAGCGACTAAAGCACTCCTACTTCACTTGAAGACAACAAACCTGAGCGACCGCCTGTAGACTGTGTGTGCTCGTGATTTTGTGTACCTTCTTATCTGTCAGCAACCTCTTTTCTCCCCTTCATCCCTTCCCCAGTGCAGGGTAGCATACGGGATGTGCGTCTGGTCAACCTCCCTGCCTTTTCTTGCATCTTTACCTCTCCTCATTGATGTCAATCACCTCAAGTTCGATCCACCTTGGTAGCTTACAAAACATGGTGTCGCGCAGCTGAATTTGATGACATGAGTTTGATCCCTAGCAGTAGCGGACGCATTTTGATGGAGGCGAAATGCGATGAGTACAGAGGTATAAACGAGGGAGCCCAAATTAATAAGAAATCCTCCACTAAGGCGTGCCTCGCTGTCATAACGACGCTTTGAACCTTTAAACCTCTCGGAATCGATACAGCATTGAGAACTGTATCGCCAGCGCTGTAGTCTAAGTTTACCGACATTTTATGCGTTTGGCCCTAATCGAGTTGAAGTTCCCGTGGTAAGGAGAAAACGCGTGTTCTAGACCAGAGCAGTGCAACACCACTTGTAAGCCACCACTGAGTGCAAATCGGACGTTACAACGCAGTTATTATAAAAGCATGACAATTCACACAATCGCTCCATCGTTGACTTCGAAGATTATTTCTCTCCTTGCTGGCTTTCATTTCACTTACGATAATCCTCAGGGCCAGAGGCGATACATAGAAGTAGCGGTAAATCACGAAAAGTAGGAACAAACTGAAGAAAATACCACCGAAATACTTTAATATAACCTGAGGAAACAATGGCTTTGCGAAACTACTCGTGATTGTTCACGTCTACAATGTCTTCTAATGCGAAGCAGCTTACGAGTTGTAAACAAAATTTTTTGGTGACCACGAAAAGAAACCATTATTTTAACAAAAACTGAAGCGAGTCGTGACTGAATATTTAACGACGTCTTGTGAAAGCATTACTATTTACCCTATAAAGCTGTCTTCGAAACGTGCTAAAACATCGATATTGAAAAATGGTTTCATAGATTCTCTGAAACTTAATGTGCTTCCTAGTGTCATGCCAGCACCTAATACTGTTGCTAATGCTATAAGCGGACTCTCATGACAATGTAATAACATAACGCATGAGTAATACCATAGCAGAACAGATTGTTGGGCTAGTTGGCTATCCACGAACACTAAGACATCATAGCACAAAAAACCCCGAACACGAGAAAATGAAGGAGACAATGAAAAGGAACTTCTATGACTCAAACTGAATTAGATGTACAACTGAATTAGCTGTACTCAATTAGCTCTACACACTGCAAAACGTTTCCTCGGACTGTTTTGCCCAACCATTCCTTTCTTTTTCTTTCGTTCGATATTGCGTTCCAGTCGTCTCACCTCCTCCCGGGGATATCATGAAGATCATCAGCAAAAGCACCATTCCGCAGGAGATGACGACAATGCGTTTCAGCACAGAGCGTGCCATAGACGCGAGGAATTTCTGAAAGGACATTCCTCGAAACGGAGGCGTAATGCGGCCTCGTTTCCTGGCCTCACACAACTCCCGGCAGAGATGTCTCACGGCACAAAAGGTGGTCCTGATATCGGTCGCCATGAGGTACACCGACCAAACGGTCAGCACGACGGCTCCTGTAAGTGCTTTCGCCCGCGCCACGTCTGCGAGCAGCTGCAGGGGCAGCACGAAATGTGCCTGTCGCCGTGCCGCGGGGTAAACCTGAGAGCGAGAGCATGGAATGGTAACATTGAGCCCGATGTTGGGTAGGTACTAAAATATGTTAGGAATAGAAGGTACAAGGCTATACAAAAGTTCTCAGTCCGCTATCTCGCGTACTCCTATGTCAGCATGGCTAGACACTTTTCACCCCCCCCCCCCTTGAACAAAGTTTGTCAGTTACTCTCTAAGAAAATATCCATTTCATCACAAGAGTGAAGCAATGAATGCGATAGCAGCAAACTGTAGGGTTACAGGAAATATAGCTAGCAGGTAGCTCTTTTAGATTTGATATCTTCTATCTTGGTGTTAGTGCACAGCACTGCTCCAGGGATAGAGCTTTTTTAAAGATGATAGTCTTTCTTAGGGACCTTCATCGCAAAAATTTTGGTCTGTCTGTCTGTACATTTGTCTGTTTTTTCGCCTTCAACGGTACCCTAAACGGCACCAAAGTGACTAAACGATACTCCAAAAGGCCGACCCCATCCGCAGCGCCCACCAATATTGCTCAAGGTTTAGCGTTCATACTTGTGCGATTGTCAATCAAAAAGCAATTATTGCACATATCTGAGGCACCATAACAACACGTCAATATTATGTATGTGTATTTTTTTACTAGAACAGGCATACATGAGTAATTTTAAGTATCGTAGCCTTTATAACGGTGCGCCGGCCATGCAACGCTTGCACGAAACGACAAGTGTTTCCAACGCTTTGCTAAGACGACACGGTGGTGTCGCCCATCCATCGTCTTGCGTTCTACACCTTATCACCTCAGAGGCAGGCGCGCACAGCGCGCGCCCCGTTTTCTAGGATAACTGTCAGATAGCGCTCATGTCTGACGTGTGGCGCGACTTGATGCGCTCGTTTACCACCACTGCACGCTCGAGGCACTGTTTTTTTTTAAGACGATAGTCTTTCTTGGGGACCTCCGACGGACAAATTTTGGTCTGTCTGTCTGTCTGTCTGTCTGTCTGTCTGTCTGTCTGTCTGTCTGTCTGTCTGTCTGTCTGTCTGTCTGTCTGTACATTTGTCTGTTTGTCCACCCTAACGATACCTCAAACGGCCTCAAATGACCAACCCCATCCGCAGCGCCCACCATTATTGCTCAAGGTTTAGCGTTCATAGTTGTGCGATTGTCAATTAAAAAATCAAATATTGCGCATATCCGAGGCGCCATAAAACACGTCTATGTTTTGTATGTCTGCCTTTATTCTAGAAGAGGCGCCACACAAGTAACTATAGAGACTGTAGCGTTTATCGCGCTGCGCTGACAGTGCAACGCGATGCCCCAGAAGGTGTTTCCAACGCTTTGCTACAACGACCACGCTACAACGGCACCTGCCCGTCACTTTGCATTCTACACCTTATCACCTCCGAGACTGGCGCGCATCTTTCTCCGCGGTCACGCACGCCTTCGTTTTCGAAGATAACTGCCAGATGGCGCTCGTGTCTAACGTGCCTAGATGCGCTTGTTCACCTCCGCTACATGCTCGAGGCACTCTAACGCAGTGCCTCCAAAATACCATTCACCTACTTTCTTGCGCAGAACATCAAATAAATGTTTTGTTCACTCTCTCCACACGCAAGGCTATCGTCTTTCGACGACATTCGCAGATGATTAAATGCAGATACGGGGCCAATTTTTTTTCATGCTGTCGTTTCAACGCGAACCGACGAGAGCGCAGCATGCATGGGGACACGAGTGGTTTGCTGATGCCTGCTGAAATGAAGGGCACCCCAGCGATCGCGGCCGCGCCCTTCTTATCCAAAATCACCCTTGCTTATCGAGCGACAAAGCCCCCGACCTGCCCTCTTGCGTTTTATCAAAGCACACCCGTAGCTCCAAGCTTCCCGTTGCGCCAAAGAAAATTCGCGCCATTAAGAATGGTTGACGGTCGCTTTAATGCGGCTGGTTGGAACAAAAGGACTTAGCTAAGAATTCACCAGTGATTATTTTTGCGAAAGCTTGTTAAGTGCATACAGGCGAGCCTCACCATGATGCCGGCACCCACATGGCAAATGCAGACAAAAAAGGCGACGAGTAGGATCACTGCTTTTAGGACAGCCAGCTCCAGCAGCAGATCTAGCACCTCAAACTTCTTTACAACGCTGGCCTTGAGCGCCGACAGCGAGAGAAATCCCGTGGCCCAGGACGCTGTGGCAGAATACAGCATTGCCATCGTGAAGTGTCGCAGACATGTCAGCGTCACTTGTAGATTGTGACAATTTGTCAGTGATGCCAGCACAGAGAGGAGAATCAGGACCTGCATGCGTGCAAGACATCAGTCAATGAGCAGGTAAGTTAACGCCGACTCCTCAAGGACACAAGTGTGGTTCAGTTACAAAACTGTAGCTGTTACAACAGCGCACATTCAACCAAGATTTACCAACTTCTATCCACATCACTTAGAAAGCTTGCCAACTGTGCCTGCGTCACTCATCCGGCACAGTGCAACGTTCAGCCGGCCGGTTAGTAAACGAGTAGATACAATAGTGGCTGAACGAAAGTACTAAATCATGACGAATTCAATTAGGCCGAAAGAAGCGCTCGACACCATCATGCCCCGTTGGGGAGCTAAAAAAGTAAAGTTCCAAGAAGATATAATCGATAGAACCCCGTAACTTGTGTGAATGTTGCCACTAGTAAAAGTTCTGAAAGTATTATTTCCATAGATGCTGGCAGGCTTGTATGTGCCGCTGTTCAGAAGAGGACAAAGATGCGCGTGCAGAGAAAAACGATAGAGTCTTATTGCCATTGTTCGAATCAGTTTGACGTCTTTAATTGTCTGCCATTATCTACAGGTTACAGTTACGGTGTAACGTGACACTGGTGGAGGTGCTGGGTATCGATCCCAGTACCTCTCGCTATCTACAGATAACTCGCCAGCTGGGAAACATAATGGTGCTCTTTCCGGGCACACTAATCCACCTCCAGCTGGCCCGGTCATTGAAGCTGCTTGGGCTATCCAAGTTGTTTCGCGCACTGGTCACAATACTGTGCAAGTACCCGTTGCTGCGATCTAGTGGCTATTCTGCTCGTTTACAACCTCAATGTCGCAGAATCGAATCGGCTCCGGCAACCACATTTCCATGAAGGTGAAGGGCTATAGGACTGTGTACATATAGGATATTAGGTTCACGTCTAAAAACACGAGGTGGTCGAAAATTCTGCATCTCCACACTATGGCGTCCCTCATAACCATATCGCTGTTTCGGGACGTAGAAACCCAACAATTATTATTCTTATCCTGAAAGTAATTTCTTCTCATTTCATCAGCGTGCGAAGGCTTGGAGCGTAGTGTTGTACAAAGTTTTAGGGATCACTGAAGCGATAAGCAACCCGAACAAAGTACACGTACCTGTGTTAGAGGGAGTGTTGTTTCGTTTCTTGTAAATGAGGTACAGCGAAGCACTCAATGGGAAGTACACCACACAAGATGAGCGTATTTCTCAAGTTATCTCTGCTATTCAACTTTCTTTTATTCGTGTATGTCATTCTGCCTGCGTTGCATGTGGACACCACGAAGGATTCACACACCACGGCACTCGCTATTCATGACGTCAGAGTCGTCACAGCGATTGTTCACCGCTGCTTTGTGAGATATCCCATATGCCTGCGCGCGAACGCGATGACGTCATAGTCAATACAATGATTTCTTCTATTACTGCGACAAATATAACACTGATAAATCTATGACAACATTTTCTCTAATTTCTCTGATGATTTGATTTCTCTGTCATTTACTTGGCATCATGGTTGAACTGTACAGATCTAAATAATTAATCGAACAAGGACTGCTGTTGAAATCAACGGGTCGAAAAGGAAACTTGCCTTCGTCATAACGAAGACAATCTGCTCTCATTGATTGGAGCATAGTGCTTGACCTTTCTAAGCGACATTTACCAAAGTAGCTCGAGCTTCTTGGCTAGCCGTAACTAAATAAAGAAACAGCTCTGAGAACAAGTACAAGACTTCAAACATTTAATGTGCCTATAGTGTCTCTTCTCATTGCCGTTCGTGCAGTATTCCTGAAACAACTATATATGCTATGAATGACGCCTATAGGGCAGTGCACCGAATAATTTTGGCCAGATCGGGTATTCTAACCTGCGCTGACATTGCACAGTACAAAGTACCTCTTGTCGAAGCACTGTCTTTAAATTTCCCTGTTTGATAATTTCTCTTCATGACTCCATCTTGCCGTGAGCGTAGTCCTTTCTCGATATGGATAGCTTCACAAAGTTAGATAGCCAGAACATCTACCCTTCACAACAAAGCCGTAGCCAGAAACTCCTTTCAGTAGTCTTCAACTATTCTTTATATGTGTCCCTACGTGCGTTTGTGTATTTACGTTTATATAGAAACAGGCAATATTTCCCTTTTTTTGGTAAGGAGAGGTGTTCAAACTTCCAATTTCCCCTCTCCCTCTCCGCTGAAAAATTGGCTACGCCAATGTTTCAGCGGTGTTCGAATCAGGTTGGTTTGCTTGTTTCTATTTGTGACTCTGTGACTGTGACACAGGCAAACTTTGAATATTTCAAGGAGGGAAGAGGGTTTACCCCAAACTCCGCCCCTTTCCCCGACATATGCCAGCGTTTCACAGACGTTATCGAATCGCGTATGTGTAACTATATGTGTGAACTCACGGCATTAATGGAGAGGGTGACGCCGAGTACGCATGGCCGCCTGTCTTTCCGGAGGGCTTTGTGGACGAGGGCGTCGTTCCACGCCGAGCGAAGGCACCACGAGTGGGAGATGAATCCCTCATCTTGGGCCCCCTTGAGCACCTCGGCCGCATTCCGAGCGCATTCCTTGGCTTCTTTCTCGTCGCCATCTTGCTCCTTGAGCAGCATTTCCTTAAATGTCTTGCCGTCGTGTTGCAGGCAGACCCATGGCTCGTCAGGCTCAGACAGCATGGTCTCCGCCTTTCGGGAGCCTGATGAGGACATGACCCGGGCTTCCCGTCTCCCTCGAGGACTCCGGGCTGGCCTGTCGAACGCTGCGTTTAGACGCACCTGCAAGTAGCCGGCGATCTACGGCGGCCCCGTCTTCGCTGGCGGGAGCAGGAAGCTCCTAGACTGATGATGATGATGATGATGATGGTGATGATGATGATGATGATGCTAATAATGTTGTTGTTGATGATGATGGTGGTGGTGGTGATGATGATGATGATGATGATGATGATGATGCTGATGATGATGATGATGATGATGATGATGATGATGATGATGATGATGATGATGACCTCTGATGGATGGCCATCATCATCATTATCATCAGTCTAGGAGCTTCCTGCTCCCGTCAGCGAAGGATGGCCATCATCATCATCAGTCTAGGAGCTCTCTGCTCCCGCCAGCGAAGACGGACTGAATCGCCCACTTTCAGCTGAGTTGATGATGATGATCCTACCTTCATACATAAGGAATGGACCTCCATGTACCAGGGATGATATGTTTACACAGCGTGTGCCAAATGAGAAAGTGGGCAAAGAATCGGGTAGCTGGAATTTAATGACAGGGATGTATACGAGAAATGGTAGCGGAAAATGTAAATTATAATACGAAATGACGCGATATGTTGAAAACTTGAGTGATAACGCTAACCAAGTGAAAATTATTGGAAAGGTTTTAATGCAAGAGGCAGCAAGCAGTTGCGTGGTGATCAATTTCATCCGAATCAATATGAAACCAAGAATCCTACTCACCGATATCCTACACCGCATTGATGGAAATATTGTAAAATTACGCAAACCCTCAACGTATACTTCTTTAATAGTTACATTGAATGACTACTTATAGGTTTGCATTGTTTTTACAGTAGCAAAGCTGCTTAACAGAATTTCACATATATAGGCGAAATCATATACGTTTTGTACGTTGGTTATGTTGTCAGACCACACAGAAATAGCCCTTGGAGAAGAGGTGGACGGTCTTCTGGTAGCATCAATTTGAAGCCCACTCCGAGCTGGAGTTTCTGAAACTCTTTCACCATGATTCCATCGCAATATTTGGAAAATTTTGTATTGCGTGGTAATCAGTTTCATCCGAATGAATATGAAACCAAGAATCCTACTCACCGATATCCTACACCGCATTGATGGAAATATTGTAAAATTACGCAAACCCTCAACGTATACTTCTTTAATAGTTACATTGAATGACTACTTATAGGTTTGCATTGTTTTTACAGTAGCAAAGCTGCTTAACAGAATTTCACATATATAGGCGAAATCATATACGTTTTGTACGTTGGTTAAGTTGTCAGACCACACAGAAATAGCCCTTGGAGAAGAGGTGGACGGTCTTCTGGTAGCATCAATTTGAAGCCCACTCCAAGCTGGAGTTTCTGAAACTCTTTCACCATGATTCCATCGCAATATTTTGAAAATTTTGTATTCAGGAAAATTCTACCAAATCTTTTGCACGAAACGGCAAACATTTTAACAGCCTTAGGTTTCTGTCGCATCGTACATAGAGCAGCCCGAGGCAATATCAGCTTAGTTGCATTAAAACAAATGTGATGTAGAGTACTATTATAATCATCATTATTATTATCATCAGCAGCATGACTACGTCAACTGCAGGGCAAATGCATATCCCGTGTTTTGCCAATCGAATCAGTCATGTGCTTTCTACTGCCACGTTATACCTGCCAACTTTTTATTCTCACCTGTCCACATAAGTTTGTGTCTCCCTCTCACGTGCTTGCCTACAGCTGAAATTCAGTCCGTTACCCTTAGCACTGGTTATCCTGCCTACGCGCTACGGGCCCGGCCAAAGACCATTTCTTCTTGATTTCAACCATGATATCCTTAACTCCGGTTGGTTCCCTGACCCACTCTATCTTCTTGCCTCTGAAGGTTACACCTAGCTCTGACCGTTCTATCGCTCGCTGCGTCGTCCTCAATTTAAGCGAAATCCTCTTTGTAAGCCTCCAGCTTTCTGCTCAGTAGGTAAGTACCGGCAAAATGCAGCTGTTAGGTACCTCCCTTTTCAAAGATAGCAGGCAGACTACCATTCCCGATACGAGAATGCTTGCCGAATGTACCCCATCTTATCCTTACTTGAGGAGGATTTCATTCTGACAGCTTGGCACCACAGTTACCTATCTTAACGATTCATTTAGAGCTTCAGTGTCTCGCCACATGATTCGCAAAGCGCTGCTCTCTGCTGAGGCTGTTGAACTATACTTTACTTTTATGCATACCAATTTTCGGACTTACTCTTATGGCTTCCGTGTCCAGTTTATCGATCATGAGTTGTGATTTGTCCCCTGAAGCAAGCATCAATGCAATGTCATCAGCTTACCGCAGGTTTACCAGACGCCGTACAGGAAGTAGCTACAATGGGTAATCCCGCTGCATGCACAGGAATACTTAAAGTCTGCCGAAACGCTTAGGGGCTGTTGTGCCTTTATTTGAGCTGGGCGTCAAGTTCACATCAAGCAGTTGAGCCATTTGCGACATCTCGAAGTTCTGTACGTATAAGGTGGAAGTTCACGGGAAGACGTAACTTAAAAGTTATGAAAAAGTCTTCGATATCTGGGTGTGACTGCAGCCAACGCTTCGTAAAGCAGAATCGTCTCCTTCAAGAATGCAAACTTGGAGCCTTGAAGCCAGCAAGTCAGCTGGTTCAAACGTTAGCTCCAGCGGGGACCCCTGATCCGAGAGTTCTTCATATATATTTAGGACTATAATTTAACTTTTAATCAACAAACAGGAGTTTTTCTCGACATACCCTCTGATGATTTCGCTCCCATCCTCATTGGAGATATCAAGGTACCAGACAAATTACCACAGCACATTATTAATGACATAGAAACGTACTATATAGTACACAGTCTCAAGCTTTGGTCATACATCTGTATTGCAAAAAGAAAAAAAAAGCTATTTTGGAAAGAACAGTGTATTCTCACGTAATACAAGGTGATCATTTCTCTGGGAAGCGTTTCACCAGAGACGAATTGCCTTTTGCCTTGCCTCGTGGACATATTTCATGTCATGTAACTATGTCCGAAATAAAATTAATTCACGTGCAGAGCAAATGAGAAAGTGGCCTGCTCTGCACCGGGCGATGAGCTGAATAGCAAGCGCTCCTGAGGTGCATAGTAATGGATTTCAAATTTTCGAATGTCATACGAGTCCAACTACGTCATTCAGTGAGGCAGCGCTTCAAGTGCAACGTGAACGGAACGACTTATAGAGATTGCAGGTGGCTGCAGAGGTACCAGAAATGCAGCTTCGAATGTTCCCCGCCCCCCCTACGTGATGTTTCAGGTAGGTGCTTCGTACGAGACGTATTCACGTAGTTAGCCAAGCCGAAAACGTTCTTCTCTGCAGCCGGCGGTAGTGTGAGAAGCGACAGTGGCACTATACATGGTACGCCAGTAGGTAGCGTTCCGTTTAACATAGCCGTCACGCAGTAGATGCTGAAGGGGTCGACATCTGTGCACTGAGGTTGTTCATTAAGGTCCAGCGTTATTACGGCTTCATGTCGATGATCCGGCGAGTCCAGAGCAGAACCGTAGGTCCAACAACAATGACGCTTGAAAGGTATAAATTTTTGGGGTTGTGTAACTCGCCATGAAGCTTGTGGGGTATTACCATACTCTTCTGGAGCTTTACGGTACTGACGCCGTCACTTGAGATATTACGGTAGCGGCAGAGCTTTGGATGTGTGTCCCGCAGCCTCGGTGCCACCGCTTGCCCCAGGAGTGACACGGAATGAGAGAGCTGTGAACAAAAATAATTCAAACGCTAAATGTTATCGCCTTATTTTTACCAAAGCCCCGATAGGATCTTGAGGTAAGCCGTAAGGTTGGCGTCGATACTAATGTTGGTCACCAAAGGTCCGATCTGCCTTGGTGGCTTATTAGGCACCGTGTCGCACTGTACGATGACATGGGTTTCATTCCTGGTGACGACAATACCGCGTTTCAATGGGGGTGAAGCGCAAGAAACCTCGAGTACACATATCTTTGGGTGTGTAGAAGCTTTAGAAACCATCGTCCTTTGACACCGAGAGAGATAATAAGTAAAAAGAAAGTCAATGAGGCCAGCCAGAATTCCAGTGTCTGGTTTGCTACCCCACGTCAAGGAAAGGAGAAAGAGAAAGAAAACTACCGAGGAGGTCATCATCAATAGGCACTCCTCCATTGAAGTTCTGGGGCCTAAAACCCCAGGAATTATTACCCTCCTGGATCCTTCGGTGGTTACAAGCCAAGAGTAGTGCGGCCTTTCGCCGTCAAGGAACTCCTCCCCAGCCCATGGGGTCGCTGCTTGAACGTGACGTCACAGCCGCTTAGTGACTCGCATTGCGATTCCTCTCGTCAGCGCGCCGGGAAGGCGGTCGGCCGCAGCGTCACGATGACACGGCGACGCCATTGGCTGGAGGGGGATCTTCTGATGGTGAAAAGCCCGCACTGCTCTTGTAACCGGTCCCAGAATCTCTTGATGATCACGAAAACAGTTTCTTGCTATAATTTCGCACACAGATATCAACTTACATGTCCCAGGAGACCAAAAAAGTGTTAAATGACACGCTGTGAAACGCATTTATCCTCCGGCGTTCTGTTCAAAAGATGATATGCGCTATAACATTCATAGAGAAAAGCAAGCATACACTTTGTATAAACCGTGAAGTTATTGCTCGTGTCAATTCAGCACCACTTGTTGCAGCCAAACGCCGGACACACCATTTCATTGTGGCGGCTTGCTGGTAGCGTCATTGCAAAAGTGACCAGCGTTCTCCCATTGATTTGCTGCAAACACCACACTATAGCACGTTCTAGTACGCGATACATATAGCAGCCTGCCCGACAGGCAAAAGAAAACGCTATTCATCAACTGCGGAAATTTTACTTAAAAGTTCAGTGCTAGTAGCAGCAAAACAAGACGTGCCAATGAGCACACGCCGCTGCGCTCACGTGACGCGAGTGGTTGGCAAGT